TTTTTTTTTTTTCACTGTGAGGTGATGATTGAACACCATAACAGGTTGCTCAGGCAGATTGTGAAGGATGTGTCCTTGGAGATACTAAAAATCTAACTGGTCATTGCCTAGAGAATCTTGTTCTGGTTGACAGCAGGGCTAGGCTAGATGACCTCTGGAGATTCTTTCCAACCTCATCTATTCTATGACTCTATGTTCCCTAAGTCCAATCACGAGTTCTCCAACTACTATTCAATTAATTTTTGAAAAGCTAGTGTAGATGTAGTAGTATTTTTAAATGGAAGACCAGTAAACGTGTACCTTTTTTTTCCTTTCCTTCGAAGCTTGCAGATATTTAAAAGGTAATTTTCTTCAGTGAAATTTAAATAGTAAAGCTTCCAAAGTCATCATGGAGAGATACAAGATTTTCTTCCCAGCATGTGGTTTTCATTGTGCTGTATAACCTGCTGTGTAACTAAGCTTTTGAATTTGGAATTGCATTGCACAAAGTATTGTGGAAGTGTTAAACATTGTGCAATTAATTCTTTCTTGGAATCCATGAGGAACGGGCCAGGGGGATTGAAGAGGTAGGCAAATAGAGAACTTTGTCAGGAAAGGAAACTTATTACTTAACACAAACAAACCAACAAAACCAAAAACAAACAAAAGACTTCAAGTGTTTGTTCTTAGTTCTCAGAGAAGCTAAAATCTAGGCTGAACTCTGCAAATCATGACAAGTGCCTTGTATCTTGGGTTGCTATTATAAGTATGTGTTGTTCCCATCCCCACCCCCCCAATATTTGGCTAATATCTCGCTAAAAATGGGGCCAGTGTTAGGGCTACCTTTTTCATAGTGACATCTTTGGTTACTTATGTGTACACCAATCTTACCTAAATCATTTTTAATGGCATGATCCAGTTCACACTGAAATTTTAATAGAAAGGATGCTGCTGGCTAGACACTATAAGGGTGCTTAAATAGGAGCAGAGTTTATAGATTATTATTTTTTTTTTTTAGAAAAAGCAAAGCATACAGACTTTTGTTCTTTTTGAAGGAAAGTTGCTATTGCATTTGATCTTTAAAATAAACAGTAGCATCTTTTCTTGTTGGCCTCACCACTAGTAACCTGCGTTTTTCACAGTTGGCAACAGTGTGCGTACCATAACCTGAGTTCCTGGCAAAACACTGTGTGAACAGTATCCCTTCTCCCCCCCAAGTGATTGACTATTGTGCCACAAATAAAAAGCATCTGCATTTAAATCCAAGAGCAAAAAACCTCCTTAGGAAGTTCTTATCATAATATTTTTATCGTAGCAGTGGTTCAGTAGCACTTGGAAACACATATGGATTAATAGGTTATTACCTTTTAGAAATATATAATTTTAAAATTATGTCATCGACTCTAGTTCATAAAACTGAACTATTATATTTTTGTCTCAAGTGTGCAAAGTACCTTGCCAAAGAAAATCACACCAGATGCAAATATCCTATGTTAATATAATTGTATTGTTTTAAAGAAAATCTTTTTCTCAGGCACTGTTCAGACATAAGAAAGGGAAGAAACAATGACATTTGGCATTATTTTCCCAAGAATCTAGCTTCTGCTTTGGCAACAATGTTGTATCAATGTGCACCAATTATTAAAGAGTTAATTTAGAAAAGCAGAAAATACAGGTTTTCTTGGTGCCCTGATATCCTGCCTGACTTTGTTTCCCTATTGGCTTCATTTCTTGGTTGTGCTTCATGTTCTACCTAAGAACAGAATAGCTTTCTTCATTTAAAAAAAAAAAAAAAAAAGACAAATTCCTTTAAAGTTTAAATTCATTTTGAAACTGAGACGTAGGCATATGGGAAAATGCCACACTGCTATTTTCATTCAATCAGTTGCTCCAGAAGGCAGACATGTACAGAACTGCATAGTGTGCGGGAGAGAGGGACGGAGGGAGTGCAGAAAGGACAGCTTGTGGCTTTCAGGGAAGACCTAACAGGCAGATCTAACTTTCCATTTTCTCTGACAAGAAACAATAACAAGAAAAGACTTTTTAAAGACCTTGAGAATTAGGATGCATCTTTTTTTACTGAGTTGTAGTGATAGGCATTTAAGATGCAGGGCAAAAATCCCGGGGTTTTAGAAGGATTCTTATTCTTCTTGTTTACATTGCTCTTGCTGAAGCTTTTAAGTAAATGAGTGGTGATATATGATAATATTCAGTTACTCTGAGTGGTTTAGTGTGTGTTCTCACAGACAGCAACGTATAGATTCCCTCAATTCAGTGAAAGATGAAAAACATTGAGCAAGTATGCCGTTTTCTGTAACTCAGTACTCCTCCAAAATTTCAGAATCTGTTTCTCTTATATTTAAAATGCTTTTAGGAAGTCACATTCATTAATGGGTTGTATAGAAAACTGCCTTTCAGTTGCATGCTTTATGTATGATATGACTAATTTTAAATTACTGTAGTTCTGGAGGTATATTAACCCTGTTTATGTATGCCATTATACAGTTTGTTTTCCTGTGTCATCATTACTAGGTTTCATTGCTCAGTTTCATTTCAATTTTCTTTGCTCTTCAATAAGGAAATTGCTAATAGATTTACGTAAATAATGAGTGTTGGTTCATTTGCAAATTTGCCTATAAACTCATCCACTTGTGATAGTAAATAGGTGAGTAAGTGGCTTAGCTTTGCTATAGCATCGTAGAATGGTTTGTATTGGAAAGGATCTTTAAAGATCATTTAGTCTAACCTCCATGCTATAGACAGGGACGGGAGAGTCTTAAATTCTCCTATGGAATTGGGTACCCTAATGCAAGCACTGAAAATCAGTGCTATCCACTATAGCCTTGGAACTAAATGTCATTCTACCAGAAGTAACACATGGATATCTCCTGCAGATAAATAGGAACACTTACCTTTTTGGGGAGATAAATAAATACATATTTTTTCTTAAATTTATGTTGTCTGAATCATCCTGGAATAGAGTAACAGTATCTGTGCAATAAAATCTGCTTCTGATGGTGTCTGATTCAAAGCTGTTACCTTTTCCACAGCTGTAATTATAATACTCTCCCAACTGGTGTTTAGTCCAGAGTATACATAGAAGATTACTTTCATGAAAATGTGAATACCTTTCCTCCCTCTTCTGCTCCCACCCTGTTCCCTTTCTGTTTTCATTTTATTTTACTTTATTTTTTAAAATCTAGGGTAAGTTTGCGTTGGTTAATTCTCAAAGTTACTGTTGAAAATAACAGGATCATAACCTTCTGCACAGGGAAAGTCTGCTGTCCCTGCTGTCTGGTGACGTCAGCTGAAGTTCAGACTCTGGAAATCCTGCTGTCAGTGCTGTGGGTTTGATGAGCTACATGTCAGTCTCATTTTATGGTCACTCTTCAATCAAGTAGTAATCTTGGATTCGTTGGATGAGTTATATCTGAGGCTTTTGGGTTGACATGTCCCATTTTTCCTAAAGCAAACACATGAAAGTGCCTGTTTAGATCCAACCTGCTTTCAATAAACAAAATAATGAAGATTTCTGGGTCTTTCCTGAACTAGTATTATTGCTTTTAACTAACCCTTTCCTTTTGTTTTGACTGTAGAATCCAAAACCATGAAAAAATAATTTGTTTTATTAATACCTTCATTGTAAATGGTAGTCTGAATATTAATAGAGATCTCCCATTCTTTCTACTCTAATCTGAGGCAAGCTGCAGTTCTGGCTTAGTTTAGCATAAATTAAACGCGTTATATGAATACAGATCCCAGCTTTGTATAGCATAGATCCAAGCAGTCTGGGAATACTGTCACAGTGGCTAATATCCTGCTGCTTAGTAACCTCTTTACCATGAAGCACTGTTTGGTATGTATGTTTGTATTGCCACTCAAGGTTAAAACACAAGTCTTTGAAACCTCTGCCTCTGACTTTACTTTACATGAGAAATACATGCATAGAGCCCATATTTTGGCAGTCCCTTTGAGAGGGATAGTAGAAAGATACTACTGACACTACGCATGATAAAATACATTATAGCCTTTCTGGTATCCTGCAATAGAGAAGTAAGCCTTTCTCCTTTTTTTCCCCCCTTTTAAAAATTTTTCCTTCTTCCTTCTTTTCCTTCTTCCTTCTTTTCCTTCTTCCTTCTTTTCCTTCTTCCTTCTTTTCCTTCTTCCTTCTTTTCCTTCTTCCTTCTTTTCCTTCTTCCTTCTTTTCCTTCTTCCTTCTTTTCCTTCTTCCTTCTTTTCCTTCTTCCTTCTTTTCCTTCTTCCTTCTTTTCCTTCTTCCTTCTTTTCCTTCTTCCTTCTTTTCCTTCTTCCTTCTTTTCCTTCTTCCTTCTTTTCCAAATTAATATCTAATCCCACTTGGAAAAAGCTTTCCATGCAGCATTCTGAGCATCATTTTATAATGAGGTTTCATCACAGTGGGTGGTATTATAATAGGCTATAAGACCTTTCTCCTATTCCCTCCCCAACTCTTAGAGTCACTGGCCTATATTTTCTGAAATGTCTGGGGACTTGAATAATCTCTGTTTTGGGGTGTCCTGTGTGAGGCTCCTTGAGGAGACTTGGGTTTTCAGAAGGCCGGTTCTTTTGGCTTGTCTAATAAAGACTTTCCCATTAAAATAGCTAAGAAATTAAGAAATACACAATCAAGGTATTCCCAGCAATAAACACAAACTCTCTTCTCTCTGATTCATTTTCCATCCGCTTGTAGGGCACAGTAGAGGGGTTATGGATGAGGGTAGTCTTGGGTGATTCGTAGAGGAAATAAAGGTTTTATTTTATTCCCTAAAGCTGTGAGAACTCGTTGCCAATTGCACATCCCCATAGCAGGCTTCTGCACACACATGACCTTTTTCCAACCCTCGTTCTCTAGTTGTTTACTGGAGAGAGAGATGTCAGGTATGCAGTTTTTGTTTTTGAAAATTCAGGATGAGCTTTTCATGATTTTTTTAGAAAAACATCCCTTGGTGACTTTTAAAAGTGTGGTAGCACTTGTTAATTGATATTTTATATTGATGTTCCAGGTGGGTAAACTGAGAGAGAAAATCCAAGAGGTTAAGCAAGAAAGGGAGCAGGAGCAGCACAAGCACACTGCCTATGTTTCTGAACTGAAAGCCAAGCTCCATGAGGAGAAAATGAAGGAACTTCAGAGTGTCAGAGAGTTACTGATCCGACAGCATGAGCAGGAGGTAGCGAGAATGGTGAAAATCAAAGATGGTGAAATTCAACGTTTGCAGTCAACAGTCAACGTCCTGCGGGATGGGGCGGCTGACAAAGTGAAGACGGCGCTGCTGAGTGAAGCAAAGGAGGAGGCTCGCAAGGCGTTCGATGGTGAACGGATGAAGTTGCAACAGGAGATCTTGGAGCTGAAATCTGGCAAAAAGCAGCTCGAAGAAGCTTTGAACAACATTATGCAGGCAGATAAAATGAAGGCTGCTGACCTGCGCACGGCTTATCAATCCCATCAGGATGAGATTAATAGAATAAAACGGGAATGTGAGAGAGAGATCCGCAGGCTGGTAAGTTCATTAAGTAATGTGTGCTTATTTCAGTTTATAGCAGATACTAGTATATTGCTGTATGTGCCCATAAATATCAACCCACTCTTTTGCAGTGACATCTTTCATCAGTGCTGGTTGCTACAATAGGCCACTATTTCCGCTACTATCTCCTCCTTACAGCAAAGATGAACCTTAGCTCCATGGCTAGTCCAACCCAGTCCAAAGCTTTATGTCCCACCAAATGGAATATGACTGAACCAAGACTTTCCAGGATGAATTTTCTCAACAGATCAAAGAAGTAGATTTCCCTTTCCGACTTGCTTAACTATATTTCCTTACAAAGTCCCGTTGACCAAAACAGTCAGGCATTACTCACTTGGCTATGCGAGAACAGCTTTGTGAGATGGCAAAATTAACTTTTCAGAGAACTTTTATATTTATATTTAAGGAACCAGTTGTGCTGAAACAAGACAATGTCTTTGCTGCTTCTGCATCATTATGCAGGTCATTCAATTTTAAGCATTGTTGCCCCTTTTAATTTTTTTCCAATTTCTGTGTTTTTTCTATTGCAGTAGAAAAGTTAAGGCCTAGGACAGCAGGCTTTTTTCACGCTTCATAAACCCTAGGACTTCAGCACAGATGGCAGACTATGCTGTTTGTATAAAATCAAAACCCAGAATATTTCACAACAGTCAGTGCCCCAAATATTTCAAATTATTCAGCTTTGTAAAATGTAAAGAATCTAAGACAGGCTATACACAGTAGCACATTTGGAGAGTTCATCATCAAACGGCACTTCTGTTTGGTACCATAATACTTTCCTTGTATATATCTGTTGGTTAATCTGCCTAAACAAGCAGTACAATAGCCATGCAAATAAAATTTAAAATTATAATAAGCATAATATTTATGATATATCAAGAAGTACAGACTTTAAATTGAATGAAATATCAATTTTCTTAGGAAAAATATTTTATTGGTTTGAGTTTATATCAGTATGTCCTCTTATTTCTTGTATTCCTTCGGAAAAATGGTGGTGAGGGCCAGCTACAAATGTGTAATATCTGTTTAATGACAGTGATTTTCTGCTGAGATGATGAAAGCTTTTAATGCAGTTAATATTTATGCTTTAAATAAACTGGACGTTGATCAAGTCTCGGGTATAATTTCCTTGACTAATTAAAGACCACTGCAAAGATTGACAACATGAAGTTTCTGTAAGCGTAGTTTCTTTCATATTTTGTTCCGTATTATAAATGTAGAATTTAAAAATCATGACTAGAAAGTACAGGTCATTTTAAAAAGTAGTGAAGAGGAGAGAAGAATGCTATGTTGCGGCATATGTTTTTCCAGAGAACGATTTCTAACTAAATTTAACCTTCTCAAAGAAGGTTACCTCACCAAGAAATGGTGAGGCGAGGCACATTGCAGTACACCCCAAGTTGTGTCATCCCAAATTGCCCCAGGAAACACACCTACTCCCTATCTTTGAGTGGTATTTTAAAGGAAACACTTAACTCTTCTCTTTCAAGAGTAGAAGCTTTCAGCCTGCCGTGGTGTGGAGGTGCTGAAGGAGGCAATCAGAGTTTTCTGTTTGGCACAAAAAAGTCCTGTCAAGTCATTCAGAATTTTAATTGGAGCCTTACTGGGCCTCCATCACTCAGTACATCTAAAAAGATGACCGTATTGGGAGAGTGTGTAATAACTCTTTTCTTGTTCCCAGCCCCAGGGGAAGCCTGCCATCGGTTTCAGGGGCTTTCACTGAAAATGTTTGTATTTTCCCCCACAAAGAAGTACAGGGGAAAAATATCAAGAGCCTGGTGTTGCTTTGTGGTGTCTCAACTCCTTTCATACAATGAATTTCATTTTTTTCATTAAATGGTATGGTTTGTTTTTATGAAAGAGAAGTGTTTGCTCTTCATAGCAATTTAGACAGTTGTAATTGCATAGGGCACTCTTTAGATCTGGGGTGAGGTAAAAAATACTGCAGAGTTCCTAGATGCTGCTCTTTTCCTCTAGGAGAGCAAGTGGGATTATAGAATCAGATCATCAGGATATTTCCCTGCCTCCTCTCCCCCCCCATTTTAATTAGTACAAGGGATGCTTGCCTTCAATTTCAGATTAACCGTATCAGCTGCAGATTTGGGGTACTCGGTTGGTTTAGTTCCTACCTTTGTGGGATGAAATGGCAAGGATGTGGCAGGCAATGTTGTTAATATCAGCACAGTTCTGTAACTGAGCTTCTAGTAATGTGCTTTTTTGTATGTGTGTTGTGTTTTATGGCACTATTAAGAAATCAGCATCTTTGGCGTTAACAGCCTGAATGGGCTGGCCATACTGTAATTCAAATTCAAATAGAGTAATTCAGGATGCAGTGTCTGATTGTCTTGTCAGACTTGGCTGATTTATTTTGCATTTTAGGTTGCAGATTAGTTCTGCAAATGTATTTCTTATAGATATTGCAGCTAAAAAAAGAAAAAAAATCAATATTTTTACCATTGATTATAATATCCACGACTAATTTGAGTAAAATCTTGCATTTTTTTGGCTTGTCATAAAAAAAAAAAGTAGTGAGAAAAGAAAAAAGCAAAATCCATTGTCTATGCATATATGGATACAATTACAATGAATACATAAACAGCCATGCTTGTATTGTACAAATGTCACTATTTTAGAAATATGATTAATGAATTCTGAGATTGTCTTCATGGTTTTGAATTGAGCCATGAAAAATACCCAATGAGCATCGATACAAATGAGATTAGATGGGGAAAGATCCCAATGCCTAATAAGGGAAAGTAAAATAGCTATTTGGCAAAAAATATAACACACTTTTTCTATATGTAGTATGAAATTATATTGGAATTTGTCAGTTCCTGTAATTGACTTAATATAACAGTGATATAAATGTTTTCATTAATTTAAGGAATGTTTGTTGACATGCATTTTTCCCACCACTACTCCCCCCAAAAGAAAATATATTCATGTTGCATATATGCGTTGGCACAATGTGCTGGCAGCTAAATAACTGGAAGTAAAAATAGCTAGTAACAAACTGGAGACAAATGAAACAGATGTCTTAAAAGTAAAGAGACAACTTGGAGAATAAGATAAGAAAGCCAGAACAACTATTACTTACTTTTTTCAGCCAATATTTTCTGGGTAGTTGAGTCTGAATGGTTGTATTGTTCTGTCAGTGTAGTATGAAAACTATGCTGATATGGACTCAGATACTTAGAAATAACATTAAAAACCAGCAAATAGGAAAAAAGAAAAAACACTACAGAAATAGCAAACTGAAAAATAATCTGCACGAAGGAAAAATATTAAAACCTGTTTTTATGGATCAGTTTTTTTTTAAAAAAAAGAATGTACAAAATCATAATGGTACTTTTTCATTCATGGAGCTTCAGTATAAACAGCCCTGAAGCATACATTCAGCTGAGGGCTGCATTAGGCAAGCATGTACATACCTAAATAACTGTGTCAAAAGACCTCTGTTTTAAGGGCATCCTTGTAAGCAGTATGTCTGATTTCCTTCTGAGGTCTAGGCTGGTACAAGTTAAATTTAATACAGACATGATTAATGGTGAAGAGAAGTTGAGTTTATTAAGTTGTGTTTATAAAGTAGTTTGAAGAGCAGAACTGTACTACAAGAGCATTTAATGTTTTAATCTAAATATTACAAAGTACACAAAATAACAGTTTATTTCAGTCAGTTTTTCTTGGGCCTCAATTAAGCTTGCCATTTAAATGACTTATTTGGTTTTAACATCAGGTTTAAAGTTAGTTTTCAGTGGTAAGTAAAGTTTCTCTCTTTTACCTGAAATTGCTGAAATAGCATATTCAAATTGTTGGTGAGTTTTGGAAACAGACCAACTTTGTTCTGTTATCCACACAGCTGTGAAGGAGGGCATGAATGTTAAGTATATCATATTAGTTAGAGGTTACATTCATTCTGGGACTACCTGGACACTGTTTTTAAGAAGGCCCTTACATTGCAAGGCATGTTTCTCTAGATACTGTTTTTGCAGAGATAAGAACAATGGACACTTTACAGTGCTTGCGTTGGAAAATATATGCGAAAAACCCATCATTAAAAGTATATTGAATTATGTCATCACTGATTTACTCATGTATAGTATTTCTTGAATAAGAAGGAAACTGAATGTTTATTTTGTTGGACACTGTTAATATAAACATAATATTTAAACTTTGGACTAAACAGATGACACTTGTGTGCTGTATTTTGTGGTGTAGGGTTTTAGTAAATATTATTTCCTCTATTGGAAATGTCTTTATCATCAAACCTTTCACTTATTTTAAAGATAACCACCATTCAACTTTATTAAAATCTTTGCACATATGGTCTTCCTTAGTATTCCTAAACAGCTTGGATTCAAATTAATTGAAAGACTTATTTCACTTTAATGTAAAATAGTCCCAGTTTTCTTAACCACAAAATCAGTGTAAAAGATTCCACTGATCTTATTAGGTGCACAATGAGATCCATGTTTAAGAGGGCACACAGTACACCAGATGAATTAAATTTGATTATTTCAATTGTATTTTCAAATAACCTCTAAAGACTAATGTAACATTAGTGCAGATTCATACTTGCAATGAAAAAAAAATCCTTTTGCTGTTAATAGAATCAAAGTAAAAGAAATTTCTTTCAGGAGTGATATTTCAGAAGTTTCTGGTCAGCCATGACTTATGAAGATAGATGCAGTATTTAAGTGTCCTTAGTCCTAGTTGCATAAATTAAAAACTCCTTCCTTCCAATGTCGAACCCTTCTTCTGTTTGATGTTTGCAGAATATATGTAATGTAGTACCTGGAAGAATATAGTTCAAACTAATAGATTAAGCAGTTTTTAAAGGTAAAAATCAAAGCAGTGTCACTGAAACTTCTGTTCAAGGGAAAAACCCTCTTATGGAGTAAGTTTATGTACCGTTTATATAGTGATATTTTTAAATATTATTTCAGTTTTGTGTGTACCACTGTATCTCATGATTT